AACCGTCTGCTCGAGTAGTTTTAAACAGTATACTGCAGTTTTATAAATGTGAAATTCTGAAGACAAGTCGTTTTAGTGCTTAAACACTATCTTTGAACGCCGATACAAAAATTGTGTTCGTCAAAAAAAAAAAAAGGACGCAGGTGTGTCTCAAGAATCTAAATGTGTTATACGTACGTAACAGCCAGGAACAAAAAAAAAAAGGCATCTGAAATTTCAGTGCACGGGAATGCTAATATTTAATAACTAATTTCCAAAAATAAACTTATTACTGAAATTTCTCCTAGTAAATATATTTTACTTACGCATCTAAGTATAATAATTATATTTTCGTTATTTTCCGGCCAATTTAACACATGCCGGTCTGGACGTTACCTTTTCGTTTCGAATCTCAAGATGAAGGAAACATATTCCTGTGCAATGTCGGTCTCTACTCCCAAGGTCCCAAGTCAGAAGACTTACAATGTGACAGAGTTGACTTGTTATTCACGGGGCCAAATTTACTTTCACCCTTCGGATCGCTTCGTCTGGTGAAATGGCACCAAGCCCTGCGCTCCGGGGGACCCGTCATCATGACGACAACCAAACTGGCTATATTTAGTAAATTCGGCGGCGATTTAATAATATCAACTTTCAGAACCTACAGAAAGAGCTTCCGTTCTTCAAACATCATCTCAATCTTTCGTTGAACAGTTTACGAGCATTACTTTCTCATTGCAAGCGGCTACTCTGATACTGTTGGAAAAGGAGCCTATCTACGTACAACGAAATGCGTTGTTGATTGTTATTATTATAATATCATCTTTAAAATAATTAATATCATTCAGTGCCGTGGGGGAGGCCGGCTCTGCTGTCCACCCCAGCCTCTTGTCCATTCCTGGTGGGGGGAGGGGGCGTTTCACGGGGGTAAACAGGAAAGTGAACAGCTCATCATTAATACTCAACTTCCGGAGTCTAAACAGGGTAAGCCTTGCCTTCACTATTATAATTAGTATCTCTTAGATTTCAAACAATGTGTGATAATGAAAACATACTAATTAACATATTCCACAAGCTGCCTCAAGCGGCGGCACTTCTAGCATGTACTCAGGAGGCTCTCAGTTGCAACCTAAGCCCGGTAACAATAATTACTAGGTATTTTCGTGGTTTTCCTCGGTGCTTTCTACTTAATGCCGTGGGGCCTGAAATAAGCCACGAAAACCCGCATCCCCAACCACTCCACACTACATAACCTTCTCCGCCGTTAGAGCTTTGTAAATAAGTTACAATTCATCCAATACATTCCAGCAAGCAAATCCAAAAGAAACTAATAACCCCAACTTCAGAATTCGGGTTCCCAATAGCAGTGGTTCTCGAACAAAACTTTCCTGCGGCCTAACTCGAAATTAGAACTCAGAAGTACTGGGTTTCGGACTTAGTCCATCGTCCAGCGGCCTCCGTAGTCTAGAGGTAACGTTCCCACCTCATGACTCGTAGTACGCGGGTTCAAACCCGGCGGAGGTCGTGGAATTTTTAAGGGCGGAAAATTTCAGGGAACAAGTCCTCCGGGAGGGACTTTAAGCCGTGGGTCCCGTGTCGTAGCTTTACGGCACGTAGAAGAACCTCATTATCTCCTAAGGAGGTCACTGAGCAAAATTCAAGGACATTTCCCGCCCAACAGTAGCCTCTAACGCCTCTGATAGATGGGGGAAGCATTATATATACCGCTAAGCCAGTAGAGACCGAACTCGCTGGCTTGGTCGGGACTGATGGTAAGCACCAGTATCGGTAGGGTATAGAGACTGGTAGAATATCACAGAGGGAAGCACAATGGACCAATACTAGTCTAAGTGCATGGGGAAACCCACCCTCTCCAATAACTAACTAACTAGTCCATCGTCCGGCATTAAAAAAACTAGAGAACACAATTCTTTAGGGTTACACGCCAACGTCAGAACTCTTTAGAATCTACGAAATTAGAAGCACGTACTGCAGCCACATAAGACCCGCCTTTTTAAGCGTACAGTAATCCTGTAAAACAGTCTGTTATTGACTTGAAACTTAAAGCATGGCGCGACGAAAATGTGATTACCTTGACTTACACCATCTTACTAAATGGAAGCATGCACACTGGGCATTCTTCCAATTAACCGAACGGAATCTTCGTTTCTCAATTTGTTGCGACACTTTCTGTTCCAGAAGTGAAGATGGAGGGTTGCAGTAATGGAGCAGATTCAAATTATCCGCATAAAAACTGTGACAGCATTTACAAAACATACGAGAAAATGTCTCAAGATTGACAAAACGTTTTCAACAAAACTTTTACTGGCCATTAAAACAGCCGAAGGCCGCATGTGACAGTCACTGTTCTAATGTTTGTGGAAATGGCTGGGTTCACCACATTAGCATCACGCTGGCCACTGTCCGCTACTGTCTTAACGAGACCTATACTTAATATAAACGTTATACTCGCACGTTTGTTTTTTTACTTTAATATTAGCGAGTCACCTATTGGGAATGTTAAACGGCAGCTTTAGCATTCATTATACAAGAGTTTAGTTTGTTGGACGGTTCAAGACTCTGCGCTTAATGGCGACCGCTGCATCACTGGCTGCGAACCACTTTCGAATTTTTCCTATGCATCAGTATGCATGATGGCCGATAACGCTTGCAATTATGGGAAGTCATTAAATTTGCGGATCGCCTGACGGCATTACGTTTCACGACGAGCAATGCGGTTCAAGCATGGGGCTCTGTTTATGATTTGCAGCAGGCAGCAGTTATTAGCTCCGTTACCCATTTGTTCTCAGTTACAGCTAATGTGCAGTGTGGTACACCATGGTGGGGTATACTTTTGAGCAACGTGTATTTCTGTAACACCTATGTAAAATATGTATCTGCGAAAATTCCGACGTAAATTTGGGGTCGAAAGAGTTCCCAGCAGATAGATAAGTCACTGTTTGGTGAATAAACTTACAACAGGGCTCTTAATAGAACACAAGCGCCGAGTGCTTACTGAGAAGATAAATGACATAGGAGTCATACCCGAACATATACCTAGAAAATCACTGAAACGTCTAGCTCAACAGACTGGAATGTCAATGTCTAGTGTAAGAAGGGCAACACAATTCCGGGCCCTTAGACCCTACAGAACAACAGTAATCCACGACATCCAGGTAGCAGGATTCATTTTTGCAGCTGGTTTATACGGTCTGTCGTCGAAGGTGACATCGATCCGCAACTGACATATTCTGATGAAGCGTGGTTTCACTTGCAGCCACACGCAGATACACAGTGTAACAGCTACCGGAGTTCACAGAATCCACATCTAACCCATGAAGTCCCGCTCCATCCAGTGAAAGTTGGTGTCTGGTGTGTTGTAAGTGCAAAGATTGTTGGACCTACGTTTTTTAACGAAACAATTAATTGTGAAGGATAAGTACTGGTCATTCTCGGGCAGTTCTTTCCAGAGTTAACAGAAGAATAGAGGCTCTGGTTTCAGCAAGACTCTGCTACTGCCTACACTGCACATATCTATGCAGGCTTTGTCCGATGTCTTGAGGGACACAATTATCACCAGTGGTATCTGACCAGCACGTTCACCCAATCTGGATTCTTGTGATTTTTTCCTACAAAATTTACGACAGTAACCCCGAACGGAAGAATTAAATGAAAGGGAAACCGGAACCATTCCTGCAGAACAGCTTCAAAGGGTAAATCGGAACCTCATCGCCGCTGCGAGGAATGTGCAGAGCGACAGCATTTCCAACACCTCCTGTAATCTGTGAACAAAGGTACGAACTTCATTTTGAAAGTTATCGTCAGGCGTGCTGATTCAGTGGCAAAATTCGTATGCGCTTAGCAGCTACCAAAGCACCGGCCGCCGTGAAGCGCCGGGGCGTGGAACCGGTCCACAAAGTAAAAACGCTTCCGGTACTTTCATTTTAATTGTCCTGATGCGTTATGTACACTATCACTGCTGTCCCTACAGTGAACCGAAGAAATGAGGAGTATGGTCATCAGCCAGATAGCTCTGTCAACATAACGACTCGGCTATAAGCTGAACGGCCGGAGAATCGTGGTTCGATTCCCAGAGGATAAAGTGGCCGGAGTGTAACTTTATCCACTCATCATCAAAGAGGACATGACGTAATTGTGGGCTGTAGTGCCTATAGCTCTTGTTTCTCACGTATCCTGCCACTTGTTGCTGCAGAAGTGAAAGCACAAAGACACCTCTACCTATACCACACAGTGACGTCACAACTCCATGTGGCCAATTTACGTAAAATGTCTCTCAGTATAGTCCTTACGTAATTGACTGGGCTCGTTAAAACTGGCGAAGGTGGCACGAGGGCGGACGTTCAAGAATTCAGCGCTTGATGTCAAGATAGGTATCTCGCCAGCGTCGAAGAGCTCTGATTTCGGACTGCGAATTACGCATGCACATGCCTATTCCAAGTGACCATGAGGTAACATGGGCCTATAAATTATTTCGAACTTGTCTTTATGCACATTCTCAAAGGCCTAGATGTGTGGGTTCACTGCGCCCCACCCACCCTTATGGATATGAAACAAGCTGCGAAGTATTCTCCTAACCCAAAACAACACTTTCCACAGAAATATGAAGATGTGAAACTAATTCCCCGAATGTTTCCTTCATTTAATTCTAAGCAAGGAAGACATGTTACGAGACGCAACAGTTATTTGGTTCGTCGCCATCTAGTGTAAAACTGCAGGTGTACTCTTCACCAAACATTATCATGTCAATCTAATTCATGGCGAATGTAGCACGCATGTGGAGAGATGAACAATGCATATGAAATTCCCGTCGAATTATCACTTGGGAAACTTAGGCTTCGACAGATCTCTAAGACATGTGGAATGAAGGTGTGTACTGGCTGACATGGTCCAGTACACGCCTCTTGTGAACATGATAATGGACTTTCTGATTCCACACAAGAAAAAAAAATTAGATCAGCAGTGACCATCAGACTCGCTTCCAGCGATAACGTTGAACATACCTTGTTTTCCCATGACGGGGCGTCCCAGACGACCAAACCAGCGAAGAAAGCGCCTTGCCGTGGTGGCATCAGGACGACAACCCGGCGTCACACTACAAGGTGTTGCGGGACGCTGGTGCTCCTGAAGGAGCAACACAGTTCGACTGCTTGGGGCGTGCTCGCGGCTACACGGAGACATGGGGCATTTGTTCCTGTATTCAATCCTAAGCCGGCTACATCTGTTTCCACGTCCACACATGCACTATCATCAGCAGAAGCAATGCACACACATATATATGTAATTCAAACGTTACTATTATCACAAACAGATCGAAATTATCGATTAACACGTTCCAACTCACATTACCGATAACACACCGGCTGACTCGCACTGCTAATTAAATACACGCCGACTGCAAAACATTTTTATACACACACACACAATAAGATCAAGCGCGCGCACGCAAGTAATAATGTCTGCAATCCAGTGAAATGAATACCAGCAGACTACATGTGCTATTACGAAATTCAAGCGACAACCACACACACCTCCAACCGCAGCCTGACACTGCGCGACTGTCTTGCTGGTTACAAATGTAAACGGTGCTACGTCTAGACACGAAGTCACACCATCCATATCCATTGGTTCAATGTTTCTACGTCACGCACTCGTGACGGACATATTCATGACAATTATTCCACACTGTACGCTATTGTTTTGTAACAACAAACCATCACTTTTACGAACGAGATTTGTATGATCTCGCTGGCTTGGAACTGAAGTGGAGGGCTTTCAGTAAATCGCAAGCTTCTTCAAAACAATCAATAACTGTTTATTCCTTCTGCAAAATGCAACCGCCTTCACGTGCCGCATAATAATTGGCGTGAACAATCATTACTAATTTCCGCTTACACATTACTTTTATTATGAGGAATGCAATACAACCTACCTACACGACTACACGATTTGCACTGGCAAACAGCAAGCAATATGAGAGCTCTGAATATGGCTTAACGGCATACTGAAATTTTTCGCCTTGTAAGCAAGCACTTGAGAGAACACCGCTCTGAAGAATGACGTCTGCACACGCAGTCGTCTAACAGACTTCCTTGTTCACTATTCTTGGAAACACATTATACTAGTCCTGAAACCTTCTTCTCTCCATGATACAAATAAATTATGATAAACAAATATCCTTTCTGCGTAACTGACAGTCGCATGCAGCAAGGTAGAAAACAAAGTGCAACGAAACTAAAACATCACTAGCAACAGACCAGCTGCGCCCCGCTTCTGATGATCACCTGACTCAACCGCAGGCGGGCGAACACACTAGCAGGCTGTGGTCCAGCTAGGAATACCCCACTCCTCCACTACCTGTTCAGATGAGAAACAAGACCTGGTGTCCCTGAAGACGGGCCAAGGGACGTGTAGGCTGTACAACCACCAGCAAAGCAAGTAGCGGTACCCACACTAGAGACCCTAGATACCTACTCTACTATCTGAACATCAATCTTACGCGTACGCAAGCGCACACAATGGCTGTTATCTGAACCTACTCGCGGACGGTAATTGATACAGCAGGTATGTTTCGAGTACTAGCTGCTGTTAAGTGAAAACTTCAGGAACCTGCAGCCACCCCCGCCAATTAACTTTTATGGAATGGGTGTAATACCAGTACAACATATTCTTTTAAAGTTTATATGAAGAGCGAGTTAGAAACAGTATGCATAGCATAACACCTGGTGTGAGTTCACCCTGTTATGGTCTCTGCCATCTCCAATTATTCGTGAATTCCAACTTCTGCTGCTTTCTTAAATTACATACATAGTAAAACAGGTGGGGAGGACAAGCGAGGACCTCATTATAAAATTTGATTAAAATCGCTGTGTTCTCCAGTTACACATTAATATTTACTATCGGGAAAACGGTAAGAATTGGAGAAAAGTGTATTGGGCATAAAATGCGTTCCATTTTCTCTACAACTTCCATTCTAAACATTTTTCGCTCCAGCAAAAATTTGGCGAGCCATGCTCCAGACGCGCAGCAACTTGAGTATCTCAAGCGTCCGTTACTATTGTCCCTTTTTAAACAACATTATAACGTGTTATATTTCAGTAAGCCTAACACTCCGCCAAATTTCATGAAAATCCTTTCGGCGATTCAGGAGTAATTAGACTGGCAGCCACGGCGAAGCCAGTGGGCGCATTTTTGCAACCTCCCCCCCGCTGCAACCGCGCCAAAAACAGGCTATGCGAATAGTTATCCAGAGGCCACAAAAACGTCTGAAGGTAGGCTCGTAGTTTTATAACACGTTTACAGACACGCAGAAGATGAAATTCCGCATGCAATACTGTCCAGCGTGTCCGAGAACACTTGAAAGCCTAATGCAGCATTACGATCAGGTGATACTAATTCTGCAACACACACGGACAACAGGAGAAAATGCGAATTACACAGTGCGGCAGTCCGTGAGTTTTCTACATCAGTGAACAGTCTTCACGAAGCACAAGCCTTGAGAAGATTACAGTCGCTAAGCAGGTTAAGAAACTATCCGCCTTTTATGGAACCCGGAAGTTCACTGTAGTATTCACAAAAACACTGGTTCATACCCTGAACCAGTCCACACCCGAAGTCCCAATTTAACAGTGTTACAGCTTATATGAAGGAAACTTATGCCTATGCATTTAGTTCAATAAGGCCTGGTACAGGAACAGCTTTACTTTTTTTTTACTTACGCTTCATAACGCAAATCAGAGATTACTGACATCACGTGTATCTAAAAATCTATATAAGACAAGTAAGCCATACGCTGTCACTTTGCACCTGGCACGTCTTTTCTTTTATTGCTAGTGGGGTGGGACTAAGTTCCTTGTACTGAGGCCACTTCTGGCCTATTGTACCAGCCCCAGATGATAGGTGAGGGTGATTGTGGAGCAATTGGTGGAATGAAGATTGTCAGGGGAAACCGAAGTACTCGGAGAAAACCTGCCCCAGCGCCACTTTGTCCACCATAAATCCCACTTGACCAGACCCGGGATGAACCAGGGCCGCCGCGGTGGGAAGCCAGCGACTAACCGCTTGAGCTATGGCGCAGCCCATTGCAAGTCTTTCTTTTTAGTCATTTCAGAAGGGTGAAAATCTGAGCAACGTTTGTTTATACATGCATATATTCAAGGAAAGAAAGTGTTTTTGGTATCTGCAGTTGTGTGAGAAAAATTCGGACAATAGAGAAATGTCAAATATCCGAACGAAAGGATGTAAATTCTAACATCAAGTAAACTTCTCCGGGTTAACGATGTAAATGTACAAAACATAACGTAAAAGGGTGAAGCTGTCCCTGTGCTTAACTAATTAAGCACCACACCATGAAGAAGGATGGGGGAGTGGATGTATAGATCTACATTTTCTTGACGTCAGAACTAGGTGAAGGTGAGTGGTCAGCTTCACGTCCCTGCTGCTTTATCCTTGGTGAAAGAGCCCCCGGTGCCCATTGGGTAGGAGGCTGGGTGGGCCTTAGAGCCGTTCTGGACGACGTAGAGAAAATTCTTGATGCCACAGCGACTCGAACTCCGACCCCTCGGTCGTCCAGCCCGTAGCCAATCGCTATACCGATACACTGTTCCGGCTCCTTATAAAATATAACGTATACATTAAAAATGTTATTCTTTAATATAAATAATTATATTCCAATTTTGATACTGGTAACAAAAACTACGATTACAAAACAAAGAAACCTTAAGTACTGATAGAGATATTGGGTTTTCGGACTTTATCCATCGTCCTGGTTTTTTTAAGATAACTAAGAAAAACACGACCTTTCGGAAACTGGATCTGTTTCCGTCCTCAGGTGAGGTAAAACACCTATTCTGTTGGGTCCCTTAGGGGTGTTTTTCCCTCACCTGAGGACGGAAACAGATCCAGTTTCCGAAACGT